AAATGACCTCACAGGTCTAATACATGACAGCTGGTGGGTCTAATATACGTTCACAAATGTGGTGATATTATTTATACAATTATTACAGTATTATATAACAGTAAATCTTCTATTTTTTGGTTTGAATAAAAATTCATTATGTGAATAAAAAATCAAAATGGAATTCATTTGTAAAGCCTGAAAACGTAACTAATGAACAGAGGAAATGTTAGTTTAGTGCCAGGAATGCCTGCATTGTTTATTTCAGACCCTATTTTGAAATTGGAATATTTTGAACTTTGCATTAAATTGGCCAAATTACCAATTTCCAGTCACTTTATTTTGTTGTTGAAACAGTTGACTTGGCAATTTCTTGTGCTCAATCGATAGAATAGAAGTAATACTAGTGAAATAGCTAAGAATTTGGTTGACTGGAATACTGTAATTGCCCTAAAATGGGAGTCAAATTTGGCAAAATCGCCGATGCGTAAATATCGCCGACACACCAAAATTCGCGAGCATAATTTCATCAATTTTCCATCAAATTTTGTACTTTGTTTTATTACCTTCAGAAAAAAATTCTCTAACCATTTCATAAGAAAAAATAAAATTATTTTTTGAAAATTCTTGGACCCTGGTGCACACTTTGAAATTTGGCCTCTGGACCCTGAAAGGGTTAAAGACCAAGTTCCCTTCCAAAGCATAGGTCGGTAAACGAACTGGTCATTAAGCGAGGAGCTTCCCCTTACTGATATTTCAAGCATGCTGTACTGGTACAGTGGAACTCCGAGTTTCATTCTGTTCCAGGGGCTAGGACTAAATTCGAAACATCCTAAAGTCAAAGCAATATTTCCCATAAGATAGTGTAAATCCAATTAATCCGTTCATGCTGTCAGGAGGCATGACAAAATAGTTCTTCAATATGATGCTATTATCAGCTCTACGGGTTTATCTATCACAATTCATCTAATGACAAACAATATAAATAACAAAAACCTGATATGCACTCTAGAATGAATAAAATATGTATATCATTACCTATGTGGTGGTGGGGGAGGATGGTGCTTGCAGGCATTCTTGTACCAGCTATGAAAACATCTTCCCATTCTTTCCTCCTTCAGATGTGTTAGTATAAGAGAAAATGGAGTTTGTGAGGCAAACTCCATTAGATCATAAGAAAACCATAATGTACAAATAAACTGGTGTACGTACACCATTTACATACCTTGCAGAAGATAAGGAGAATGGCTTACGCTTAACTGATACACTCTTAATGCTGCACTTTGTCTCTGAACTTAACTGCTTTAAACTCCACATCTTGTGTCTGTGCTGGTGTGCAGGAACACATTAAAATCACTGAGTGTGTTATTAGTCTTGAAGATGCCATATTAATATATACTGTAATAAACACGCTACATAACATATATAAATTAACATAAATATGAGGTGGTTTTCCAGTCGGCTTGACGGAGGGAACATAAACCATTCGTGTCCGGACTGCTAACAATAACAACAACAACAACAACTGGTTTGTTTACAAAACTCAGTGAACCTTCTACACTCATGTACTCATCTCTCACTCTACATTAAGACTATAAATATTTTAAGGTAAGTAATGAGTGTACTGTATATGCATTTTATCACTCTAGAGCACTTTAAGGGGTGACACCGCTGTGGGTGGGGTAGCCAGATGGGGGTTACATACCTACCTACCTCACTATTCACCTTGCACCCTATATTAAGACCATTAAGACTACAAATGTTTTAAGTTAAGTAATGAGTGTACTGTATGTATATGCATTTTGTTGCTCTAGGGCACTTTAAATGCCTAGTACATAATGTAATGTTCACTAGAGGAGAAACAAAGCCAGAGTGACTCGTGACGGATGCGCAGGGAGGCGCGCAGGTGGACAGGTCTGGTACGGGGGATGAAACACGAGGCACAGTGCGAAACTCAGGACAAAATTTAGCCCAAAAAACAGTTCTAAACTCGAAGCGTACGATACTCAGGGTGTATGAAACTCAGGTTTCCACTGTAGTTTGTGTCAACCGTCTTTAGATATTGTTTTAATGTCACCTTTGCACCATATATAACATTTTTAGTACAAAATAGAACTAGGCATTAAAAACAAGACTAAAATATGCATAGAGTACACTGGTCGAAGAGCTGGTCGTAAGTCCAAGCAGTCGTTAAACAGGTAGGTCATTAAGTGAGGAGTACCTGTATATATACAGGCAGGCCCCGCTTTACAACATTACACTAATGCAACAGCTTTTAATTATACTCTTTCTTCATTTATTCAGACTTCCTACAATAAATATATTCACCACTTACTTTAAGCTAAAGACAAAAATATTTTAAGATAAATAATGTGTTTAAGTGCATTTTTAAGCCTAGCTCTACTGCTCACTTAATATATAATAGTGTCAACACGTTATCAGGCTTTTATATGCATTTGTTTCACTTACAGCGGTAGCCTAGAACCTAACCTGCTATATAAGCGGGGCCCTCCTGTATTAACCCCTTTTACTTAACCACACAGTACTACAGTACAGCATGCTCTCTACTTTAGCGAATACAGTAGAACCGCCGTATCCACTGATTTGTTATCCATGGTTTACTGTGGCCCAAAAATACATCTTAATTTTGCATAATAATGGCCCCAAAACACAAAAGCTGGCAGTTCTTCAAAGCCTAGAGAAACCATGAAGTGCTTCCCATAAGTGAAAGTGATAATTGTCCATTTACTGTGCATAACTTATCAATTAAACTTTATATGTACAGGACTTGTATATAGGGGTTTGCTACTATCCAGTTTCGGTATCCACAGCAGGTCCTTGGAATGTATCCCCCACGAATATGAGGGGTCCTACTGTATATGTAGTCTATACAACTTTGAGGTGTCCCTAGTAATTTAAATGAGTTATTGGCTCAGTAGGTCCATCTCAGTGACTTGAACACACTAGTGTCCATTAATAGCTGAAGGTGGCCGACATCCTTGTCAACATGTACAGGGTGTATTATAAATCATAAACTGCTCTTACATACTGTTATGACTTTGATGTCGTAACTTAAAATGTTCCTGGCTCCTAAAGGCTACTCGCACTGCTGTCTAGGGGTTATAAAATTACACTGAAAAACACTGCAAACCTTGGGCCAGCATGTACTCGTATATTAAACAATATTATTTATTATTAGGAAGGAAGGACAAAAACTTACATATATAAAAATATATCTATATAAACCCCTTGACTGTCGCAACCCCCAAGCCTGAGGTGTCTTTGGTGTCGCAAAATTTCAAAAAAAAAAAAATTATTTTTTCTTATAAAAATGATAATCTTTTCCCGATTGTAAAGACACCAAAAAACAAAATTTGATGGAAAACTGACGGAATTACACTCTCAGCGAAGTTAGCGACCTCGGAGATATTTACAAATCGGCGATTTCGCCCACTTTGAGCCCTATTTCCGGCTAATTCCATTATTCCAGTCAACCAAACTCATAGCTATTTCTTCAGAACTCCATTTTTTCTATCGATTGAGTACAAGAAACTGCCCATTTACCGATTTCAACTACCCAATAACATGGTCAGAAATTTGCAATATGGCCAATTTCACGAAAATTAAAAAATAAGACAATTTCAAAATAAAACCAGAATGAACAATGCAGACATTCCTGGCTCTAAAATAACATTTTCTTTGTTCATCAGTCATGTCTCCAGGCCCCTCTGATATTACTCTTGCTTTCTATTATGAATTTTTATTCAAACAAAAAATAGAAGATTTACTGTTATGCAGACTACTGCAATACTGTAATAATTGTAAAAATTACATCAACCCATTCATAACTGCATATTAGAATGGCTATTTGGACATTTATTGGACAATGACATCATCTGTTTACTTTTGAACATCGGCAAAAATCAAACATTTCCCGTACTTTGTGCTCCATTTCCAGGTTCTTTTTATAGTAAAATCAATCAAAATCACTTCTATTTCTATAATATATTTTCCATTCTATCAAATGAGACCAAGAAAATGAGAATACAACCATAAATACTATACGAAAATAGACCACAAAGTCGGCATTTTAATTAAAAAAACGGTCATTTTTTTTCATTATGCACTGTGTGCTCCAGGATTTTTTTTATATGGTGCACACTGACCACACAGACCCATTCTCTCACATGTGGGCCTACCAGCTTTCTCCTGCTTGATTTGAAGCCGCTAGAATTTATGAGTACAGTATATATACGTCAAACACTGTACCTCGTAAGAAGTATATATACGGCCACGACAGTGAAAGGGTTAATAGTAACTTGTATACTAGCACACTGCTACTAATGAGTTAAACAAAATAAATGAACATTTATGAATAGGGAGGCTCCATGACACCCCCCTTTCTGCAGGCTACATAGCCTACAGTGGAAATGTTAAATACTCTCCAAAACACAGGCCCGTGCATACTAGGACTTAACAAATAAACATGAGAACACTTAAATACAAACACCTATGGTATACACTAAAAAACTTACCTAAGTTACCTACTCAAAGTAACACCAACCCATGACTACTTCACCCAGCCGCATTCCTACATGTACTAAACTAAAAAACCTCTCATCGCTCCTGTTGGGCCACTGCCTGACTGACATGAATAAAACTCGTCACTTTCAGGGATTAATACACATCCGCTTTCAGTATACTACACGGAAAATGACATATATGGAGCGTTATTTTATATATAAATATTTTAATACAATACAGTGGACCCCCGGTTAACGATATTTAACACTCCAGAAGTATGTTCAGGTGCCATACCGACCAATTGTCCCATAAGAATATTGTGAAGTAGATTAGTCATTCCATTCCCCCAAACATATACTACAACGACTTACATAAATACACTTACATAATTGTGCATTCGGATGATCGTTATGCGGGGGTCCACTGTACTGCGTAATACATACACACAACATATATCTCGACCTGCTTCATATTAACAGTGCCAGGAAGGTACCAACCTTGCAACAGGTAATCTGGAGAGCTGGGTCCACTGACACTCCTCCACATCATAGCACTCAAGGGTGTCCAAACTTTGGCGGTTGGAATAACCCCCAACAAGGTAAATGACACAGGGAGCATTAGGGGTTCTTTCCTTTTGACATGGAGGTTTATGCAATGTTAAATCCTGTAGTAGTGTAAAAATTCAATATTGTTATAAAAAATAATTCAGGGTGACGAGTGATAAATAAGAAAATAAGAGTTGCTTTTCATGTTGTTACATTAATATTTACACATCATTGTAACAGAGCAATTCACTAATTATTCTCACACCTAAATTTTATAAATTTTAAGTACTACAGTAGGGCCCCACTTATATGGTAGGTTAGGTTCCAGGCTACCGCTGAAAAGCGGACATCACCGGAAAGCAGAACGTCATTTTTTTCCACTTGTTATCTGGCACTTGTATGCAATTACAAGTTTACACTAACATATACTGTATTAGCTAACAGTAGAACTTTTTTTTTTTTTTTTTTTTCAACAAGTCGGCCGTCTCCCACCGAGGCAGGGTGACCCAAAAAAGAAAGAAAATCCCCAAAAAGAAAATACTTTCATCATCATTAACATATCACTGTTTTTGCAGAGGTGCTCAGAATACAACAGTTTAGAAGCATATACGTATAAAGATACACAACATATCCCTCCAAACTGCCAATATCCCAAACCCCTCCTTTAAAGTGCAGGCATTGTACTTCCCATTTCCAGGACTCAAGTCCGACTATATGAAAATAACCGGTTTCCCTGAATCCCTTCACTAAATATTACCCTGCTCACACTCCAACAGATCGTCAGGTCCCAAGTACCATTCGTCTCCATTCACTCCTATCTAACACGCTCACGCACGCTTGCTGAAAGTCCAAGCCCCTTGCCCACAAAACCTCCTTTACCCCTCTCTCTCCAACCCTTTCGAGGACGACCCCTACCCCACCTTCCTTCCCCTATAGATTTATATGCTTTCCATGTCATTCTACTTTGATCCATTCTCTCTAAATGACCAAACCACCTCAACAACCCCTCTTCTGCCTCTGACTAATACTTTTATTAACTCCACACCTTTTCCTAATTTCCACACTCCGAATTTTCTGCATAATATTTACACCGCACATTGCCCTTAAACAGGACATCTCCACTGTCTCCAACCCCCCTTTGCTGCTGCATTTACCACCCAAGCTTCACACCATATAAGAGTGTTGGTACTACTATACTTTCATACATTCCCTTTTGCCTCCATAGATAACTTTTTTTTTGACTCCACAATATACCTCAACGCACCACTCCCTTTTTTCCCTAAACAATTCTATGATTATACCTTCCACCCCCGGTTCCCCAAGTATCTAAAAAACATTCACTTCTTCCATACTCCTCCTCCCCAATTTGTTTATCCAATTTTTTTTTATCTAAATCATTTGATACCCTCATCACCTTCTCTTTTCTATGTTCACTTTCAACTTTCTACCTTTCCCACACATTCCCAACTCATCCACAAACCCTTTTTGCAATTTTTCTTTAGAATCTCCCATAAGCCAGTATCATCACAAAAAGAACTGTAAATTTCCCATTTTGAATTGATTCCCCAAAATTTAATCCCCCCCCTCTCCCAAACACCTAGATTTATTTTCCTTTTAAAAACCCCATCTAAATATTTTTAAACAACCATGGTGACATTACACATCCCTGTCTAAACCTACTTTTATGGGAATTTGTCCCCTCTCTTCTACATACCCTAATCTGAGCCTCATATCCTCAAAAAAATCTTTACAGCATTTAATAACTTACCACCTGTTCCATAATACCTTGCAACATCTGCCACATTGCTCCTCTATCCACTCTATCATATGCCTTTTCTAAATCCAAAAAACAAAAAAAACTTCCCTACCTTTATCTAAATACTGTCACATATATGCTTCAATGTAAACACTGATCTACACATCCCCTACCACTCTGAACCTCCTTGCTCATCCGAAATCCTACATTCTGTCTTACCTCTAATTCTTCAATTATAACCCTACCGTACATTTTTCCCGGGTTTATACTCAGTAAACTTATTCCTCTATAATTTTTACAGTCTCTTTTGCCCCCTTTCCCTTTATATAAAGGGACTATGCATGCTCTCCGCCAACCCCTAGGTACCTTCCCCTCTTTCACACATTTAAATTAAACAAAGTACCAAACCCACTCCCAACACTATATCCCCCCTGTTTTTAACATTTCTGTCATGATCCCATCAGTTCCAGCTGCTTTACCCCCTTTCATATTACGTAATGCCTCATGTACCTCCCCCACACTTACATTCTGCTCTTCTCACTCCTAAAAGATGGTATACCTCCCTGACCAGTGCATGAAATTACTGCCTCTTTCTTCCTTAACATTTAAAAGTTCCTCAAAATATTCTCCCCATCTACTAACTCCCCTACTCTGTTTTTAACTGACAAATCCATACTTTCCCTAGGCTTTCTTAACTTGTTTAACTCACTACAAATTGTTTTCTTATTTTCATTAAAATTTCTTGACAGTGCCTCTCCCACTATCATCTGCTCTCCTTTTGCACTCTCTCACCATTCTCTTTACCTTTCTTTTACTCTCCATATATTCTGCTCTTCTTATAACACTTCTGCTTTGTAAAAACCTCTCATAAGCTACCTTTTTCTCTTTTATCACACCCTTTACTTCATCATTCCACCAATCACTCCTCTTTCCTCCTGCCCCCACCCTCCTATAACCACAAACTTCTGCCCCACAATTTAATACTGCATTTTTAAAACTATTCCAACCCTCTTCAACCCCCCACTACTCATCTTTGCACTAGCCCACCTTTCTGCCAATAGTCGCTTATATCTCACCCGAACTTCCTCCTCCCTTAGTTTATACACTTTCACCTCTCTCTTACTTGTTGTTGCCACCTTCCTCTTTTCCCATCTACCTCTTACTCTAACTGTAGCTACAACTAAATAATGATCCGATATATCAGTTGCCCCTCTATAAACATGTACATCCTGGAGCCTACCCATCAACCTTTTATCCACCAATACATAATCTAATAAACTACTTTCATTACGTGCTACATCATACCTTGTATATTTATTTATCCTCTTTTTCATAAAATATGCATTACTTATTACCAAATCTCTTTCTACACATAGCTCAATTAAAGGCTCCCTATTTACATTTACCCTTGGCACCCCAAATTTACCTACTACTCCCTCCATAACATTTTTACCCACTTTAGCATTGAAATCCCCAACCACCATTACTCTCACACTTGATTCAAAACTCCCCACGCATTCACTCAACATTTCCCAAAATCTCTCTCTCTCTCTCTCCTGTACACTTCTCTCTTCTCCAGGTGCATACACGCTTATTATAACCCACTTTTCACATCCAATCTTCATTTTACTCCACATAATCCTTGAATTAATATATTTATAGTCCCTCTTTTCCTGCCATAGCTTATCCTTCAACATTATTGCTACTCCTTCTTTAGCTCTAACTCTATTTGAAACCCCTGACCTAATCCCATTTATTCCTCTCCATTGAAACTCTCTCACCCCCTTCAGCTTTGTTTTGCTTAAAGCCAGGACATCCAGCTTCTTCTCATTCATAACATCCACAATCATCTCTTTCTTATCATTTGCACAACATCCACACACATTCAGACTTCCCACTTTGACAATTTTCTTCTTATTCTTTTTAGTAATCTTTACAGGAAAAGGGTTACTAGCCCATTGTTCCCGGCATTTTAACATTAAAATGGTATAAAATACCGACAGGTTGTTAGGTAAGACACACATGCAACAGTTAGGTATCTTTATTTCTTAACGTTTTGCCTACACAGTAGGCTTCTTCAGTCGAGTACAGAAAAGTTGATAGAAGCAGAAGAGACTTGAAGACGATGTAATTAGTCCATCACCCTTAAAGTTTTGAGCTGGATTTGAGAGGGACCTGACCTCCCAACATCTGTGTTCTACTAGTGACCTACGTCTCACCTCCTGGCGCTATATAAGGCTCCATCCTGTCACTTCAACTCCATATTGTTTCAGACTATGGAACAATGCTCTTCTCCAGACTGAGGGATTGACCACCTCAAAACTTTAAGGGTGATGGACTGATTACATCGTCTTCAAGTCTTCTGCTTCTATCAACTTTTCTGTACTCGACTGAAGAAGCCTACTGTGTAGGCGAAACGTTTCGAAATAAAGATACCTAACTGTTGCATATGTGTCTTACCTAACATCCCAGTTTTTAGTTACTTTTACAACACCCGGGTTTTACAGGGGAAAGTTTCCCCTTTTTTTTTCCCATTTCCCCCATGGATAAAAAAGGAAAAAAGTAATAAGATCAAGAACTTTTAAAAAGATAAAAATCAAAGAAAACTCAGAGATTGGTATAAATAAATGTGTACATGTATTTTTTTAAGTGTAAGTAAAATAGCAAGACCCTACCCCGTAATCCCTTTAATATTTTTAGACAGACAAAAGACAAACAGCAATTTTCCCACCACATGTAAAAAAAAATTTCAGGGTTTCGTTTTACACTCACTTGGGAACAGTAAACCTCCCTGGGTTTTTGCTGTCTACCAACCTACTACCATTAAAAAACAATAAGAAGTAAAATACATACACAGTACACTCATTATTTACCTTAAAATATTTTTTCTTAATGCAGGGTGAGAGGTGAGTAGTATTTATTTGTAGGAAGTCAGGTGTAGATATCCCATACGTGTAGGCAGCCCTCCCAAACATAATATACGATATTTACGCGGCCCAGAGCGATATTATTACATACCTTGTTCACTGAGTTTAATCATTTCTAACAACTACCTTTAGATGCCATCATAAATGAGGGGAGAAGTAATGAGAAGTCATGCCAAGAACTGTAAACAAAACTGAATGTGTTAACCTTTTCAGGGTTTCGGCCGTACTAGTATGGCTTACGCACCAGGGTTTTTGATGTACTAGTACGCCTAAATTCTAGCGCCCTCAAATCTAGTGAAAGAAAGCTGGTAGGCCTACATATGAAAGAATGTGTCTACGTGGTCAGTATACGCAGTATAAAAAAAAATCCTGCAGCACACAGTGCGTAATGAAAAAAAACTGACTGTTTTTGGATTAAAACAGCGACTTTGCACAG